AAATACAAGTTCAGTTTTGTCAAACATGGGTTTAGATATTTTTTAAATGTAATGTTAATATTTTAATTTTGTTTTTAATTACAAAACTACACATATTTGTGATAAATAAAACATGCAAAGTAAAGAAGAAGAGTAAGAAATAAGCAAAATCACTTTTGGATATAAAAGCAAAGTCTAATTAGATCTATTGTACAGTACTGCATTCACCATACTTCTCCATTCTTACAAAACCTGCTTCCTTCCCCAAAGGTGCTTTTTCATGGGGCAACTGGGCTTTTTTGTTTTTTCTTTGAAGACATTTAGCTTCTCATCCAAGAAGCTTCTTCGGCTCTGACTGGATATTGGGGAGCTGAAGAAGCTTCTTGGATGAAAAGCAAAACACCTTCAAAGAAAAAACAAAATCCAGTTGCTTTGTGAAAAAGCAGCTTTGGGATAACTATGACCTAGCTGGGTGAGCATCTCCATAGACATCCTGCTTCCTTCCATTGTGGACTGTATGGGAGATGAGATTCCTCAAGATAATTTGGGTCTGAACCACCCAGAGTTTTAACAGCATTGTGAGATCCTTGAATTGCTTTGGAGAGCAACTTGTGATGTATACTACGATGTACAGGTACTTAAAACTTACAACCATTTGTTTAGTGACTGTTTGAAGTTATAATGCCAGTGAAAAAAGTGACTGATGACCATTTTTCACACTTACGATCATTGCAGCATGCCCATGATCAAGGGATCAAAATTCAGGTCATTGGAATATATTTATGACAGTTGCACTGTTCCCAATTCATGTGATCACCATTTATAACTTTCCCAGCTGGCTTCCAACAAACAAAATTAATGTGGATTCACTGAACAAGCACACAATTCATTTAACAACTGCAGTGATTTGATTAACTGTAGCAAAAAATATCATAAAACCGGGCAAAAGTCACTTAACAACTATCTTGCTTAGCAATGGAAATTTTGGGTTCCATTGTGGTCGTAAGTCAAGGACTACCTGTATTTGGAAAGGAACAACATTATTTGTCCTGATACGTTTTTGGCCAGGTGGTTTTCAGATTAATGTCATTGCCTGCTTTGCAAAGACCATACTTTACTAACCCAACCTTGAGGTTATCAGTGCATGCATGAGTCAACAAAAGCAAAAGACTTTCTGTTCTAGTTAAAATTCAATTGAGCAGTAAATTGTTGTGAAACATGTATTCAAGTATTATTCAAATCTTCAGGAATACAAATATTTGAGAGAAAGTTTGCATATTGTTTGTATTTTCAACATGAATTGCAGGAGATAAAAAAAGTACATTGCAGTTAGTGATTAGGATAATAGTATCAAAGTAGGGTTGCAGAGACAACTACATTAGCAACAGCCCAGGCCACAGATCTGCACACTGATTCTCTTAAGCAATGTGTTCTTTCAGGTGTATTTTACTCATTATGAAACTGTATATTCCAGCATCTTAAATTTTTAAGTGGTTCTCTAGCCCAGGTGTCCCCAACCTGTGGGCCGCAGCCCACTACCAGGCTGTGGCCTATTTGCAACCAGGTCATGTGAGCGACGGGCTGTCATGCACACACACAGCTTGACTCACGTGAGCGGCAGGTGCCAGCACTCACAGCGCCACTTGCGCTCGCAGTGGGCCGCCAACCCGGAAAGGTTGGGGAACACTGCTCTAGCCTCTCAAGCAAATTGGGAAAAAATTCCTGTTTTTTTTTTTTTTTTAATTCCCAGCTTCTCATTGTGATGGCTATAAACGTAGGAATATTTTTGCAGGCAAGAAGATCTAAGTTTACTGATTTGCTGGATAAATAGTGGTAAGTTGCTTACCTGAATAAATGTTAAAACTAACCTATACTTTCCTTACAGTTTATGATGAGAAAAAAAAACCTCTAAGTGGTCAACTGAGAAAATATCCAGAAACAATAATAATCTACTGTAAAGATCTTAGAGTGTTTCACTTCTGCTTAAGATATACCAAGGAAGAAGAAGTTAAAAGGGTAATTATGGCCTTACCAATTTCCTTTTTTAAAAACAAACCTTTGGACTATGACTAAACTTTCATGAAGAGCACTCAAATGTTACAACCGAGTTACATTTTTTAAGAATATCTGAAAATTAAACAGGGAAGAAAGTCCTACCTTGTTGAAGCATCTTTGTCTAGTTGTGGCTTAGCCATGTTTTCGGTTAATCACAACTATAAACCATTGATTTACAATCTGCATGCTAAATGAATGGCAAACAAAACCTATTATAGTTTAGCACAGATTTGAATCCACTTTTTGCCTTCATTCGTGAATCCACTTTTGCCTAAAATACCTTTACATTTTAGTCAGTGGTGGGATTCAAATATGTGAACAACCGGTTCTCTGTGTGGATGCCGCTTCCGGAAGTCCATTCTGGGCCTGGGCAACAAAAAAATAGCTACCGGTTCTGCCAAAGTGGTGCGAACCAACTGAATCCCACCACTGATTTTAGTCTAAGGAATAGACTATATCCTAATTGCTTGATTCTGTTTATAAATTAATTGTACCATGTGAATGTTTCTCATTTGATTTAACATACAGTGAAGAAAAATAGGGTACTATGTGGCACTGATTTCGTGACTATTCCTTACTTTATTTTTAGATAATGAGGAATCTTAACTGTGTATAATATGTTACGTTTTTAGCTCCTGTGACTGTTAATAAATCTTGGGTCTCTGTGTTTGATTTGCTTTGAATTCTAACCTGAGTGTTGGAAATGTATTGCAGTTTTGCAGGTTACATTGATCTAGTTATACCTACTTTGGCTGTTAATGTTGCTAAGAATGAAGAAAGAGGGTATGAACAAAATGCAGGAAATTTATGGCCAAATCATGGAGCTGTGGGCATTCTCAATCTTCTCCAAACCTTCTTTTCATAAAAATCTGTACTTATAACTAGAGAAAGCATTACAGAGGAAATCAACTTGGGGTCCTAATCTTCAGCTTCCTCATTCACTTCATTTGTTCATTCATTCATTCATTCTCATTCTGACTTTTAGAACCTTCTGCGTATGTTTCCATCTGCTGTTTGTCCTAACTTAATTCCAACACAATTCCATCTACTGACAAGTAGCTATGCAGGCAACTTATGAGATTTGTATCCTTTGTACTACAGTATGCTAGCTAGACAGTATCTCCTAGTCAGATATTTAAATGCTAATAGGGGAAGTCCATAAAAAGCATTTCAACAGAGTTGATATTAGCCTGTTGAAGTATATATGGTCACTTTAGGAAATTATTCAGCAGTCTAGCAAAGTTGGAAGGTATTCGTTTTTTCTAACTAACATGAATGCTTTACGAATATGTTGATATCTTGTTCCTTTCTTAGATTGTCAGTGGCGTAGTTCATCAAACACAGACCCCTAAGCTATTTAAACGCTTGTTTCTGTTCTCTTATGCATCAGCTGCCCCAAATGACTTAGGTAAGCATGCACAATATATCTGCCTTGCTATTTTGATTCTATTGTGTTGACAGCTTTCTTTAAAATAGGTTTGTTGTGTTCCCCCCTTGGCTAGCTTGATCATTTGTCCTGTCTAATCCTGATGAGAAATAGATTGTATAATAGCTGTTTATGTACATTCAAGAGGTGAGCTTCAATAGATACCTGTAAAAGACTCATCAATATTCCGTAGGCAGGAATTTGATTAAAAAGTGACATTGCTACTTCTGTTAAAAATGAAAATATATGCATCCCCTATTATGGTCACAGTCTGAAACATTGGCTTTGAAACATCTCAGGATGGTAATTGGTCCTTTTAAGAACAAAACCTACATTACAATTGAAAAAAAAATCCAGTGTGTTTTATCTTAACTAAAAAACATCTTTCACAAACTCTTGTCAGGTTTTGGGTTAAGATGCAAAATCCATTTGAAAAGTTCAAAATTGTCCAGTCTAAAAAAAAAATTTTTTTTTTATTTTAACAGAGAAAGAGAATCAAGTAGTATGGTTTCATTCTATTAAAGACTGGCGTCAAGAATTGGAGCGGACCAAAGGAAATCTAAAATACAAAGCAGTGAATGCCAATGAAGGTTATAAAGTCTCTAAAAAGTAAGAACTCATCACTTTTTAAAAATTAACGTTGTTGACTGAACAATCCACAACTCAAACTGGTTTCCATTTTATGTCCCTTGTCCTCCCTGCCCTTCTGCAGTCACCTTGCCAACCCTCAACATCTTCCTTCCGTTGCTGACGAAGCGTGCCCAGCTTGGCTCTATGCAAGGCAGCAGCTGGCTGCACCATATCTTCTTCCCAAGGCCGCTTGCCCTTCTCACAATGCTTCAGAAGGTTTCTGAGGCCTTCTAAATCCCCACCAGAAGGCTGTACCTACTGTTATCTAAATTGTGTGGGCTGTTCTCGTGATGCTTCAGAAAGCCTTGGAAACTTTCCAAAGCATTGTAAGAATAGTGAATGGCTGGCACAACCTTCTTGCAGGGTTTCAGAAAGCCTCAGAAGCATTGCAAGCAGCCTCAGGAAGAAGACCTGGCGTAAATCAAGGAGTACCTCTGTTATAAATTAGAATATGAGCAGGTAGATATAGCAAGTGATACAGGTTCATGAAACTAATTGTGATGAGTAGATGATAGATTTTAAACTTTTGTACAGAAGTAAAATACATTTTCTTTAGTTCGAGGTTCATGGTAACTTTTGCACCCATTTTTCACCACATTCAAAGTTTGCTTCTGAATATAGTTAATACAGATGATCCATTATGTACCCTACTTTATGATATCCACAGGCTCCCTAACAGCAAGGATAAGGAATATAAAGCTAGATTTCTGTTTAATAGAGAGTTTAAACCCAAGAGAATATAAGATGTAGGCTGCAGTCTTCATTGTTACAAGACAATCAACTGTTTAAAATGTCTTCAGGTCTTCTGTACAATAAAAATTTCTAACTAACTGAACTCTAATGAGAAGCCCCAACCAAGAGATAAGTCTGAATAACTTGCAGATTTTAATTTGTTAAATTGACTTTTCTCAGGTTGCCTCCCTATTTTGTTGTTCCAATGGCTATTGCTGAAGAGAGCATTTTGCAGTATCAAGGAAGAGGAATTCCAGTGAGTGTATTTGTTGACAAGCTTGAAGAAGCTTTTTGTAAACATATATACATGTATATTGTGTTACATTACATTATATATTACATATACATATATAAGTTGCACACACACAGACACACACACGGCTTCCTTTATTACTACTAAATGATTTGGGTAACATCAAATGAGTGCAATTTAAATTATATAGTCTTAGCACAGTCAGAGATAAGCAAAACTGAATATTAACAGCTTGTCTCACATATGTATGTAGCTCAATTATTGTTTGCTTCTACATATACAGAGTATATGTAGAGTATATGGGAAGTAGGATTAATGGATACAGTTAATAGATCAGTTCAAACAGTCCTTTGATTTGGATGAGTGCAAATAATTTTTTTTAAGGCCTTTAAAGCCTTTTTCAATTCAGAACCAGTAACCTGATTCAGACTGAGTTTCCAGTTCCAATTTCTGTTTTAGTATTCTACTGATACATGTAAAATCAACTTTGCGTAGGGAGATGGGAATATATCCTAGTTCTAGCCCATTTTGTTGTTTCTAGCATGAGTATTGCTTACCTGTAGGATTTATTTTGACTTATACTCGTCATGGTTCATGCAGCAAAGCTACCAATGTGTGATGTGACAAAAAATTTTATTGTTAGGCCCCTTTTTTTGCAGAACCTAGCACTGATGTGGATTGAGAGAGAAGGACTGATCCAGGTCACCCATCTGGCTTCCGTCCCTAAGGAGGAGTAGAAATTGGGTTTTCCCGCCCCTAGTCTAACAGCTTAACTCCTACATGGTATTAGCTTTCCTAACTACCCCATTCATTTACATTGATCATATTTATCTCTCCTATGCTCTCTCCCATGAACCAGTGAAACCATCCCATGGTATCTAACAGTATCATAAAAAATACCATAAATAAAAATAACTAATATGCTAATAACCCCCCAAAACATTGAAATATAATTATTTCATTTACAAATAATAAATAAGGAGTGAAAAGTCCTCTCCATAAGTCATAAAACTCAGGCAGCCATCTTCAAATCATGCTTGAACATATGTTTTAGCTTCTTTTTAAAACAGATAGAGGAGATAACTAGAATTTCTAAAGGGAGTGAAATCTTACAGATTGATATTGCTAAGAAAATCCTTGCTCCAGTTGTTAGCTAAATGGGATTTCTTCTGGGTTGGCCCTCTTAGAAACTCTAGTGATGTTGCATGTGTTAGAAGGAAAGCTGAAAGTGTTTTTTATATCAATAGTTATAGCTATAGCTAGAGAAAAGCATATATTCTATAAACATTTCATAAAGGGTGATATTGTAGGAGAGTCATGTTAGCCTATGATGGCAAAAAATCAGGAAGAATCTGGAAACACCTTTTCCAACCAATATAGTTTATTAAAAGGCATATTTTTTGTCAATTGTGCTTCCTTTCACCTGATACATTGAATACTGGATGTAAATTGGGGTGAGATGAGGGAGAAAGGGGAGAGAAAATATGGGTTGATTATGCAAAGGCAGGGTATATATGAGACAGGTTACAAGTACCTTATCAATTAACAGTTGTAATATGTTAAAAAAAACCTTGTTTGTTGAAACATTCTGAAATTGCCTGAAACATTTTGATTTATGCCAGTTCAGCAATTTCTTATTCAACAGTGCATTTAAACTTCCCTTTTTTCAAAATAAAAAGGATGACAGAAAACTTAGCTTGCTGGTACACAGTTATACATTGATTCTTAATCCAGGTAGGAAATCCTGTGGTACATGGCTAGATCTAATGGGGAAGGAGCATGGGACCATATTAAGATAATCCAAATTGTTGTTTGAAGGATTATCCAAACTGTTTCATCCACCTTCATGTTAAGTGCTCTTCAGGGGACTGAATTTTATGCATGGTGAGTGGAATACTCTTAACTTGTGCTGTATGACGCCTCTACTACGCCATAACAAAATGAATGTTTCTCATACATAACCAAATCACAACATGTAAATATCTACTGCAGGTTTGGTGTTGGTCTTGCCATAATGGCGCTGCTCTCCTCAAGATGTCAACTTTTGCCAAAGAACAAGATGACAACACTTCCCAGCTGTACAAACTATTCTTGGATGGGTAAATAATAGTTCTGTTTCAACTTAGTACATTTGCATTTTCAACTGCATCAACTCTATGAATACTTAATTCCTAATGGCAAGCTGTCATTTTCTTTCCCATTGATAATATACTAGATATTTGTCCTTCTCTGGATCACTATTCTGCATGGTCTGGCATTTTTCTGGAAGCAGATCTGAGTAGAAGCCTTGTGTGGTGTTCTGAATGCTGCAGAAGACTGCTAGCCTAATTGTGGAATAACTGGATCAATTTGGTCACAGAAATTTCCCTAGGATTTCCTCTTTTTGGAACCATAAATTTTGAACAACCCTATAATATGTCTTTAATTCCCCAGTACTTTAAATCACAAATTCTTGGGCAGTAGGGAAAGATACAGCGCTTTCAGCAATATCTTATGTATAAGTATCAATATAATTTAGACCAGTAGTCCCCAAACTTTGTTGCTTTGCAGTCCAGTGGGGGGCAAAAGAGGGGAACTGGTCCGTGTGAGCAGCAGGCATGCAGCTCAACTTGCCTGAGCAGTGGGGTGGCACATACATGCATGCACACACAGCTCGACTTGTGCAATTTGAGCTGCAAGTGTGTGTGCACATATGCCAGCCCTCTGCTCACAAGTCGAACTGTGCGCATGGGTGCGCACATTGGCTCTCTGCTTGCACAGCCTGGTTGCAAATAGGCCATGGCCTGGCAGTGGACTGCGGTCCGGGAGTTTAGACCATGATATTAGTGAACACTTTGTTCACTCATCTAGCTAAGAAAAGCAAGTCTAAATCACAATGAGGCTTGAAGTTGCTTTGGGACTTGGGTGAGAAAAGGTATAAAAATCCATTCATTAGGATACCAGTCCTTTAGTTTTATTAATACATTTATCAAACTTACAAAACACTCCAAAAAGTAATAACAAAATACAATAAATGGGAGCTGCAAGAAAGATGTTGGAAATGTAACAATAGGTTATATAGCAAATATTTTCTATTAAAAATTCTTTTCTTGCTTAATACTCCAGGAAGGTTTAAGTTTCTTCACAATAAGATATATTTTTCTCTATAACAATACAGAGAAGGAGGTCAGGAAGATTGGTGCCCACAGATTCTTTATGATTTAAAGTAAAATTGTATGCTAGCTAAAAAATCCCAGAAACAGAAATATTGTTTCTCTATCCTAAGATTGTATAAAATTAGTGAACTTTGACAATCTTGCCACATTTGTTCCCAGAGTTGATAGTTCTGCCCTTTTGATGCCAAATAAAGAAGTCTCCAGTTTAATGCATTCTACTGTGTTCTGAATGTTCTTAATCTATTCTATTTAGAATGTATAAAACAATTGATAAGCCTCCATATGAAGCCTTGAAAATTGAAGACCTTTCAAGCAGCCTTCCATCTTTGCAAGAAATCCAAGTTGCATATACTAGATTTAAACAGCTGTTTTTGATAGGTATGTAAAAACATAAGGAAAATAAATGTTTTACAACTCTAATGTGGAAAAAAGGCATGAACTGCTGTGTTTACTATTGATACTTCAAAGGCTTGTTTTTAAAACTGCAGATGCATGTCATATCTTAAACTAGGAATTAATGGATTATTTTTCAAAAGAGCCAGATTTTGTTGTCTTCTTTGCTTTTTACTGCTTTTGTTAACCGTAAAGTAATTTTGCAGTAAGAACTGATAAATATTAATCCTAATCAGTGTTTCAAGGTTTTTTATTGGGGTTTTTTTTGGGGGGGGGGGGAGTTCTACTTCACCTTTCTTTCAGAAGTTTTTTTTAGTCTACTGATTGGTATAAACATTCCTTTATTGAGTGCCTTTCTATAGTTGACCATTCTTTTGATTTGTATTGTTGAAGCATTATTTAAATACAGAATAAAACAAGAAATCGTATACTCTGATTACATGGATTCTGCTGGTGTAAAAATATGTGAGAATATAACACAATCATTAATATCTCTTTGAATCTTTGAGCTTCATTGACATAAATGCATTCTATATTTCATATGTAAATATCTAAAATTATTATCTTGGGTTTTTTTTTTCAGATAACAGTGCAGAATTCTGGGATACTGATGTAAAATGGTTTTCACTGTTGGAAAGTACAAATTGGCTAGAAATCATAAGGTAGGTTAACTTCCTAAGTTGTATTATCTAAATATACTTAGGAAAGCAAACCATCAAGTCTTTAAGATAATACAAGACAACATGATGTATCCTCAGATTTTAATAACAACTTCAACAACTTCATTTTGAGATACAGTCATTTATCCAAGATCCTTGGAATCATAATCCCAGTTGATTCCAAACAGAATTATGCCTTTCTACTTCCACTTTCATGAGATATATTAAAGCTCTAATTTGTCCATGTTCTTCCAGGCGATGTCTGAGAAAAACAATAGATATTATTGAATTGCTTGAAGTACAGAGCACAAATGTTCTTCTTCAAGGTAAGTTCAAGAAAGCATATTTCCCCCCCTATCAATTATAAGTAGATGAAATAAAATAAAATCTAGTTCTTAAATCTTTCATTCATGAACTGCTTGCAATGTAAATATGTTTAAAACAATTTAAACTTGACAGTTTTCTGACATTGGATACATATAACCTCAGACTGAAAATTTATTTGAAGAAGCAAAATAGTTCAAAACATACTGCTGATCAATGTTCACTTAATTCCTAAAAAATATTCAGAACATCCAATTTTTCAAATTCTGTTGATTTCCGCATGCGCTATACATGAAACACAATCTAACTGTGCTTCAAGTATAGTCTGGAATATCCCCACCCCCGAATTATTCAGAAGTAAACCAATATACACATTAGCCAAATGGAACTATTTTAGGACTGCTTATAGAGGTATTTGAAAACAATTTACAACATTTGACTGAAATTTTTAAATTATAAAACAATGGAGTGTTTACCACTCTGTTATTTGCAATTTGAACAGGATAAACATCCATATAAATAAATAAATGTTAATTCCTTCAATTTCTAAAAAATAACACATGGGATGTAATTTCATTTTTTTTTAAAGAAACAGGATTGTTAACTGAAAGATACACAAATCATTTTTACAAGTGGATGAATGATGATCTTGTAGTGATACATGAAGAAGTAAGCTTGTAACATGAATTGCAACAAAATCGTTAAGAAGCTAACATTTTTTTTCTTACAATTGATTAGGTAACTACAGTACTTGTCTTGTAGATTATTAACTACATCCACTCATACCTTTGTGTTTCACTGTTTCGTATAACTATTTTTCCTGCAGATCTAGATAGACAGACAGACATATATTTTTTAAAAAATAATACACAATAGTATTATTTTAAAATTAGCTCCAAATACAAACTATTTTGTATAGTGAGTAAGCACTATAGAAAGGTAGAGTAAAATTCAAGCTGTTACTCCATCTGGATCAGTTCACCCAAATGGTCACCTGTGTTGTCTGTGTTGCATCTCATTTGCCACCAGTTCATTACTGAATCCAAAGCACTGGTTAAAATACTAAAAATAAAATACAGGTAGCCCTCAGTTAATGATGGCAATTACCGTAGCTAAACGATGTGATCATAAAGCACGGCATTATATGAACATGCCACTTAATGATGGCAGTTCTGGTATTACTGGTTGCAATCATTAAGCAGATTGGTGAGGGTCATTAAGCAGGGACATCACATGGTCACCATTTGCACCCTCCCTGCCAGCCTCCCCACTGCCTTTGCTTGCCAGAAGCTGGCAAAGAAGGCCACAAATGATGACTATGAGAAGCTCTGGTGTAGTTGCAAGCTGGGCACCAGAGGACTGGCCATATGAAACACATGTTCAGTGCCATCACAAGTTTGAACAGTCACTGAATGAATGGTCGTAACTAAGGACTACCTATCGCAGGAGTAGGCAACCTTGGCTCTTTTATGACTCGTGGACTTCAACTCCCAGAATTCCTGAGCCAGCATGGCTGGCTCAGGAATTCTGGGAGTTGAAGTCCACGAGTCATAAAAGAGCCAAGGTTGCCTACCCCTGGCCTATCGCTACAAAGGAAAATTGCCTTTTCAGTATTCAGCTTCTTAAAATTCTAATGTCAGTGTAGATCAAACCTCTGGAGAGCTTTCATGGGAGCTTCATGTAACACTTAGTACCAATATACAACTTTAAAGGAGTTGAGCAATAATACCTGATACAACTTTCTGGAAATGATATTCCAAATAGGAGTATTCTGTCTACTAAACTACTTCTTACCCCCAACACAAACTTTCTGTCTTAGAAGAATCTCTTGCTAGTTACATTCATTCCGGTTATAAGCCATAGGCTGATTGGGTGTAATCCATTCCAAAAATATGCCTGAACAGATATACAAATAGATCTATTTAACCTGTTTTATCAAAGAGTGTCCAATACCATCTGCCAACCCTTTGCTGTCTTGATCATCAAAGAAAAAAGTAGGCAGCTAATTATAATTATTTGTTTTAAGTGCTTTCAAGCTTAAGGGTTTTTTTTAGTTTTTTTCCAGTGGAATTATGACTACTTGCAAGCAAATTCTAACCATGTTCCACTATTGCTCTTACTGATTCTGAATACCTTGTACTTTTTCTATTAAGTTATAGTTTATAAATGAAGGTTAGAGAATTTGCATTCATTTTATTGTTGAGCACTAGCATGCAGAAGTCTTAACAAAATTCCTTTCTTTATCCCTCCGTTTCAGAATTCATTTACAGTTACATTAAATGCACAGTTCTCTACATCAAGGTCTACATTTTTGCCAACATCACGTACACCTTTCTGTCAATCCCTTGCCTTAAGAACAGCATCATTAGTGTTTGAATATTGAAAACCACTTTGAAAAGTTGATGGGCATGCCCTCAAAGGATACTTTCGTTGCTGTTCTTCTAACGAAATATTAAGATTTGTCAAAAAATACTCCCTCCTCCTATAAATGTCATTTTTTGCAACTGTCCAATGTTTTTAGGAAAATTTATATTCAAACATTGAAAATAAATGCATCACATCATGCTTTATCCCATTCCTAAAAGAGGATTGAGCCTATTTGTTTGATTCACACACACACACACACACACCGCAAATGTAATAGAAATGAAATGGGTTTAGTCACCCTTGAGGTGTTCAGGTCTGTATACATTTGTACATGGCTATAAATTTCTGACTAAGATACACCCAGGAGCTGTCTTATATTTTAAAACATGGCCCTTCTAGCATGTTTCTTGGATTCTGGTTTAACACCTGCATCTGTCCTCTGTCTTATCTCCTTGTTTTCCTTTCAGTGAAGACCCTGTCTTCTGCTGTCCCATTTTTCTCCACCTGTGAGTAGTACTGTTGGCTAGCCTGCAGAGGGCTAGTTTAGATGCCTTGGTGTTTAGCATGTCTGTTACTCTCCCGTCTTGTTACTCAGCAGGATAAGAACTGGTACAACAAACCTGCTAAGCTCGTTCAGAATGCAGTCATAAAATTTGATTTGTTTAATCCTGGCTTAGTATTACTCCGTGAACTCATTTGACTTGACTTCTCTATAGGGTCATCATTAAATGAACCATGTTTAGTGTGATGGGTGAACCCAGTTACTGGCTTTGATGCTTAAAAGGTGCACTTTTGGACAATATATTCCCTTGCTTTTCCTAGAGTCCTGAAACTTGGTCCTGTATTATATTTTGTACCAAATGCTTAACTAATCTGTTGTATAGGTTCTTCCACTGTGTTCATGCTGTCTCATTCTGACATAATGCCCAATAATCTTCTTTGCCTTACCACTGTGAAATACTGCTTCAATGCATGCTGCTTTTGGAATATATTCCTTTGGTTTGTATGACCATAATCAATAGAGAAATGTTGAATGACCTACAGTATTAGGTAAATGGATAAATGCTGTGTTTCTGAGAAAGTAATACTTTATTATCTAAATCATTTTGCTGCTCCGTACTAATTTTGATCTTTGATTTTAATATAATAGTACAGATTCAGGATGTTCAGTAAATGCATTAAGAGTGCTAACATCCCACTCAGTAGACATTAATGTTTGCCTGAAAGGGACTGTAATAACACAAACACGTCCTTCACTTAAAGTGCCCACAAACATTTTCCCCTCATCTGAAATAGATCTATTTGTCTCTTTATTTCTAGAGGAGAATGCTTCTGATCTCTGTTGTGTGACTGCCTGTCTGGTTCAAGTTATGATGGATTCATACTGTAGAACAAGGCTGGGATTTCAGAGCCTTATTCAGAAAGAATGGATCATGGGAGGACATGCTTTCTTGGATCGGTGTAACCATCTGAGGCAAAGTGATAAAGAAGAGGTATAACTAAGGAGGGGGTCAAAGTTCTACAAAGATGTTCTGGGCAAAAGTATGTCTAGGGAGGGAAACTGAGAATCATGAAACTGGAAATGGCGGAGCCTCTGTCTCAGGATTTGCCCAAAAATATGTCGGGCTCAAATGAGCTCTTGTTCAGGAGAATAAATATTTCAGTGAAAGAACAAGAAAGGCAGGCAAGGCTTTGTTAGCCTTGATCACACTAACCCTTTGGCCTCCAGAGTCCAAGAAATGTATTGCCAAACAAGCAAACCCTACATGCAGTTGATATAAATTAATCTATTCATATCTTACTCTGTACCATTTCAGAAATTCAGAAAAAAATAATTCAAAAGCTATGAATAGGCCAAAAGTTTTGGTTTTTAATAGAATAAGTATGAAATTAAATATCAGGCACACTACTCAGAGTTATTTGTACTAACAGACGTTAGGGAGATAGTTGTCTAATTACCGTTGGATTCAAGGCTGGCTTTGCAAAGGTGGAAAAATTGGTGCTTCTTTCTGAATTGCTGGTATCTTCCTCCAAGAAGCACTAACTTATTCTATGGGTCCGATTCCCTCTAATCAGCCAGATGCAGTAGGATCTTAGTGCTAGAGCTAGATCCTAGAGAACTTCCTCAAGATCCAGAGGCTCAGAAACCTCCCAGGTAGCTGAGTAATATTTTGCAGATGCAATGTGAAATAATTCTGCTTTACCATAATTATTGCCATAGTTTCAAGCTTATACCCATGTCTGATCACACCTACTTCTCATTCTCTGCGAGTATTGCTTCAGGCATCTTTTCTTTTATTTCCTACAGCAATTCATAGAACTAAGTAGGATTAATAGGCAGGGAGCAGCCACTGAGGAGCAAACGTCTGCAGTGCTTGGCTTTCTCTGTTTTCCAGACTCTAACAAAGTACCCAGAAAAGTTAGCCTTTAGATATTGAGAAAAATCTCCAGGTACATCTGGACATCTTCTGTATCAGATTCTTAGGCCTTCTAATCAGCCCTCCTTCTCCATGGAAGCTTGTATCTCTGTTGTCACAAGGGAGTGATCTACCCGTTACCAACCACTGATGGAACAGGCTCCCCAGAACCACATCATGTCTCAGGCCAGATTTAATGTGTGGTTGGTTGAGGGGTGGGGCCAGAAAGAACCTGGGACAAGCCCATGGCTTTCCTGGGGTTGAAACTAATGCAGTATGCAAAATCTGGCTGGACAAATTCAGATGACTGGCTAATGAGTTAAGGATTAGGGTATGTGAAGTAGAAACTGGAACCAGATTTTTAATCAGCCCTTCCCTGAAATGGCTCGCTGCTCTCTCCGTCCGGAATTAATGATCAGAAGTCAGCTTGAATTTATCAATAACAAGTTTGGCTAGATTGTCTTCTGTCAGTTTTGATTCAGGAATTTCTTTATCAGAACATGGGCCTGCTATGGATGAAATATATTTTGATTTTAGCAAAATATCCATGACATTTTGATTGACAAGCTAATTAAGCATAGACTGATTGGCATGACAGTTAAGTCACATGCAAAGACGCTCATATATAGTTTCTCATTAAAATAAATAGAGCTTATTGAGTAGAATCCCACAAGATTCAGTTCAGGGCATTATACTTTGAAATGCTTTTATGATAATTTGGATGAAGAGCTAAGAAAATCTCATCAGATTGGCAAATGATTTAGAATTGGATGGGACAGCTAATATCCTAAGTTGGAAACACCATTTAAAATTTAAGGGTTTAGAAAAATATGTTGGAAAAAACGGAATTAAATTTAACAGAGACAGAGTCCTTCTCTTAGAAAACAAATCATATATAGAAGTAAAGAATCAAGTTCCCTGGTAATAGTCCTTTTGAAAAGAAATACTGGAATATGATCCATTATTCCAAGTTGAATATGATCGATGTGATGCAAAAAAGCAAAATGTGGTTTTTATGCTGTATCATTGGAAATATTTCCAAATAATGGGGAATAATAGCTCCACTTTATTTATCAGTGGTCAGACTCCACCTTGACTGGTGTGTCCAGTTTTCAGTATCACACTTAAAGTATTCAAATTAATTGAACGGACTTGAAAAGATAGTGAGGATGATCAGGAAAGTAAAAATGAAGAAAGCAAAGGAGTTCTAAATGCTGTAGTCTTCTAGAGTGATTAACTGGGTAGGTTGTGAAAAATTGTCAGGCCCAGAGAACAAAGCATGAGTAAGTCTTCCACTTAACAACCACAAGTGAGCCCAAAATTTCCCTTGCTAAGCAGGGTGATTGTTAAGTGACTTTTCCCACATTTTTTGTCACAGTTAAGTGAATCTTCAGTGTTGGAGCACCCAAACCTTCTGGAGGCAAGTTGTTCCACTGATTAATTGTTCTAACTGTCAGGAAATTTCTCCTTAGGTTGTTCTCTTCTTGATTAGTTTTCATCCATTGCTCCTTGTCCTGCCTTCAGGTGCTTTGGAGAACAAAGCCCTTCAAATATTGAACACTGCTATCATGTCTCCGTTAGTCCTTTTCATTAAACAAGACATACCCCATTCCAGCAACTGTTCTTTATATGTTTTAACCTCCAGTCCCTTAATCATCTTTGTTGCTTCTTCTTTGCACTCTTTCTAGAGACTCAATATCTTTTTCATTTTGTGGCAAAATGAAAACATACTCTGTGAACTGCTCGGGAGGGGCTGTTGTAGCCCCTTTCTTGCTTACTAGAGATTCCAAGCACTGCTCCCTCCCTCCAGACTACATTCTACCAGAAGAATATGTCACATAAATAGAATAATAAATACGAATTACAGAAAGGAAGATTCTTATTAAAGTAAGAACTGTTTTAAACAAAATTCCACCAGTTATCCAGAGAAGAGATGTTAAAATGAAGCCGAGGGAGCACTCCTTTGGAGAATTTTAATTTCCATTCCTATACCAATCACAATATTGGATTAGATTGGATGGCCTAATTGGTTGTTTGTAACATTTTCATTCTGAGTTTTCAACTATGCCTACAGGCCCTAAAACATTAAAACCCTTCCCCTAACTGATGCCTCTGACTAGAACTGCAGCTCCTTAATGATTTCAGACGCAAGAAGTGATAATAGAAAAATAAAGATAGTTACACAACTTGCATTCATATCAATACATTATAGTTAATGCAACTTACTAAAACTTAATAAATGCAACCATGGAGCAGTTATAGCTTTTACGAACATTTTTTTTCTGTGATGATACTTGAAATGGCATAAAAGCAAATATTTATCAAAAAAAATGTCAGATTTATTATCAGTACTGCCATATCTTGGCATGCAACTAAAATGATTTTAAATACTGTTTTGTGAAATGAAGAGAGGGGAGGTGAAATTCATTTGGTGGAAAGATTTCCCCCCCTTTTTTTTATGATAATGATAATAATAATGATGATAATCTTAGCAGTTCTTATGGAGGGATAGACCTTGACGTGCAAGAAGCCTTCTTAAGTCACGTTTTGTTGAATGCAACACTTCACAACTGTAGTGCTCAGTTTACTGTATCTTGTACTGTTGTTGTTTCCTTATTTTTTTTAGGCTCCAGTTTTCTTGCTCTTCCTGGACTGTGTTTGGCAACTAGTTCAGCAATATCAACCAGCGTTTGAATTTACCGAAACGTATCTTACTGTTCTGTCTGACAGCCTTTACATCCCCATATTTAGCACCTTCTTCTTCAATTCTCAACATCAGAGAGACACCACAACGGTAAGACAGTTAAGAGGAAAATAATCTTCATTGCCCAATATAGCAGATAGAAACCGTACAGTATTTTCATGGTAATACATTATTTTGGAAGTGGGTTAAAAAGAGCTAAATGAGGAGTCCGTAGTCGAAGAAATGGAATTAAAAATAAAAATGATTCAGTGATTTCAGATGAAAATGAAATGAAAGGAAGGTAGAAGGAGTATATGTCCCAAGATTTATATGGGAATAATGACATATTAACAAGTATAATAGAATGAATGCTACAATCAAATTTATTATGGGCTTAGGCCAGAATTAAATAAAACACCATTATGTGCAATGATAAATATCCTTACAATATAATCTGTTTATATTAACATTAATTAGTTCTATCTCTTGGTGGTGATTTTGCCAGGCACACACTTCCAAATACTGACCAAAATTTTGCTACCAGAAACTCTTACCTGTTTAAAGCTATCTGCCTTAGGGCCTGGTTACTTGAGGAACTTCCTGTTTCTCATAACATTTGTCTGACTGATTTGGTCCCTTAAGGTTGACATGCTCTGGGTTCCTTCGATTAAAGCATGTCATCTTTCAGAACCCCAGAAGCATCTGTGCATACAGAAGCATTCTGTAGCAGTATGTGCCCTTTGCAGTGAGATCCTTCCCCCCCCCCCAAGATTTGGGTAGCCCCCACTCTGCTGTTTTTCAGAAGAAACTTGAATATCTGGCTCTTCACTCAGGGCTTTGGTGAAGGAGAGGGAGATCCCTCACTTCATCGCACTTGCCATCTTTTCTTTTTGCTTTATTGTAGTTTCTTTCTTTGTTGTGAATTGTCATCCTGAGTCACTGACAGTCTGGCAGCTTATACATTTAATGAATTATTATTATCTGAATACCTATGGAAGTTCTTAAATAAAGGTAAAAGTAGCATTTGTATTGAATCAGAATAAAATAAAAAAAATAGTCAATAGATGCAATTTTATTTGTGCCACCTGTAGCTAAGCTTAATAGTAGCATATTATAGCTTTGTAATGGTATTAAATCTGCCTCTAAAAATTTTTATGAGACAATATAATGGGCTTTGGAAACTACCCACCCACATTTTTAAGTAGGCACAAAAAATATTTGGCAAAGGAGAATCTCTGTATCTTGAGGCAATGAATTCTTATATTTTGACTCAGCTAATTCTGGAAGTCATTATCCTCTGGCTGTTATCTGACAGCATTCTTCATCTTCTCTAACCCTAGAAGTAAAGGAACTCAGATGATACCATATTAGTATAATGTATAAGTGATCTTTAACTACCACTGTGATGTATAATTGGCCCTTCAAGGTAACGGTAATATCCCCAAAATGGCTAAATTCTTAGTAGAGCAAGTACTTGATGACCTCCAAGGTTCCTTCCAACATTATTGTTGTTGTTTGCCAAGCTCTAGTCTTCGCAAAGACTTTGTTTGCATACAAATTAACACATACCTCCCTCACCCTCACTTCCCCCATTCCCTGAACTGATGATGTTACCTAATATGAATATGACATGCTGGCAATGCAGACTCTAGCTCAAATATCTACCGTGAGCTGAATGGAGCCTCAGTTCTGGGAAGCCCAGCCTCTAATCACAGGGCCACATTAGGGGCCACATCTAGGGCTCAAGAAGTAACCCATAAACAATATGCTATACTTTCTTGTTGGGTCCAAAGTTTGAATGAAGGCACAGTTATGCCCAATATAATAGTGACTATATAACTATTACTGTCCAAGAAATAAGATAAAAAGGGAGTCATAAACATTACAAGAATGTTTTTAAAAATAATGTTGCTGCAAATGTAAATGATTTAACTGGAGAAATGTTAAAGTATGATTTATGGAGTACATTTGCAGTTTTGTTAATATCTGTATATGAAGACTGCATTTATGGAATTGAAAGAATGCTGTTTATTGTTTCACTATATAAATAGAAAGATAGTGAGAGTGAACAACTTCAGGGGCTGAGCTTCTTAGGAAGGCATTGAAGGAACTCTGATACAATGGGAACAAAAGGCGACCTTAACAAAATTTAGGGCAGAGGGTAAAACAGACCAGATTTTAGTTTTTTAGCAAGTCACCGCAGAGTGTATAAATGTGAGAAATTTCATTATGAGTCTGTTAATTTGGAGACCATATATGGTAAAATGAATAAGCTTGAAATATAAAGTGTTTTACAGGAATTTGGAATTGAAAGTTGGTTGCTGAAAGCATTAAGAACAATATCTGATGATAGTATAACATGATGAGAGTTAACAATTGGCTGTTGTGTGTCCCATTAATTATTTCATGGACTTACGAATAAATGTATAAGGAATGCTTATGGTGAAGATTGAAGTTGATAGAGTGTTTACTGAAGATGTGAAAATGGATAAATTTTAAAATCTACAAATGCCAGGTAATTCTTGAGCTATAACCATTCGGCAACCATTTGTTCAGGGACTATTTGAAGTTAGCATGGTGCTGAATGAAGGTCCTCAAAGTTCTGGCCATTGCAGTGTCCACTGTGGTGACATGAACAAAATTTGGGTGCTTGGCAGCCAGCTCTCACTATGGAATAGAATAGAATTAGAATAGAATAGAATAGAATAGAATAGAATAAGTTTATTGTCACTTTGAATGTACACTAATACATTAAAATGAAATTTTGTTGCATACAGTTGTCAAAGGGTCACAACTCCAATATACACTACATAAATATGATAAAAATAAATAAATACAGAATTATGCATGTACCCACATATATTATATGGCACAGAGAAACAACACAGTCTAGTTCAGATTATGTATACATGTGCATGGCAAGAAAAACAAATCTTGCGAGCTTACCAGACGGATGGCATAGGGAACAAAGCTATTACAGAATCAGATAGTCCTACTAGAAATACTTCGAAACCTCCTCCCAAAGGAGAGCAACAGAAACAGACCGTAAAGTGGGTGTGTGGGGTCTCTAACAATGCTTTGAGCTCTAAGCACATAGCGCTTATAGGCAACGGGTGGAAACTGACCAAAGAGAACCTAGAACTAAGGAGAAACTTCCTGACAGTTAGAACAATTAACCAGTGGAACAACCTGCCTCCAGAAGCGGTGAATGCTCCAACACTGGAAGTTTTTAAGAAGAAACTGGACAGCCATTTGTCCGAAATGGTATAGGGTTTCCTGCCTGAGCAGGGGATTGGACTAGATGACCTCTAAGGTCCCTTCCAACTTTATCACCATCATCATCATCATCATCATCATCATTATTATTATTATCCTGAATACCAGGAAGTGAGCTTCCTATGATCTTCTCTGTATGGAATTTCTATCTGAGGCACTGTTGTCACCAAAGCAGACAGTGATGCAGTTTGTTAAAATGCTCTCAATCGTGCCTCTGTAAAAAGTTGCCGGGACAGAAGGAGAGAGATGTGCTCTCCTCATCATGATCCAGTTGCAGCATCCCAGAGTCATAGAAACACAGCATCACCCAGATCACTTTCATGCCTAAAGCAGGACTAGAACTCACCATTTCCTGTTATGTAGGCCAGCACTTTAAGTACTATACCAAACTGGCTGTTTGATGGCTAAGATTAACTCTGTTTAATGGTTAAGATTAACTCTGATGGTCAACTTTGAACTAAGACATTCCATTCTATTAAAAATTGAAGTATCACAGATTGAAGCATTGCAGATTGGAGAAAATGCATTTCTAAATTAATTCCAGACTTCTTTTTTTTTTAAAAAAACAGTATGGAGGAAGTCTTGATACAGAAGGCAGCAAACTTAATTTTCTTTCGGTATGGGATTGGTCTGTGCAGTTTGAACACGAAGGTCAAGCTTTGCTTAACAACCCTCTTTATGCAGAAAAGGCAAAAGTAGACAAAAGTCAGAAAAAAGCTTCACGATTCAAGGTAAGATATCTGCATATTTCCACTGCAATAACTGGAGGACTAATACAGAATGGGTTGCTAATATGGTAACCATTGTTCAATTAGGTTGGAGTATGTGAATTAAAATAGCTATAAATAGTGAATTTTGAGAAAATAAATAAATCTTCATGAGGACTACTTGTAGGAAGTAAAAAGAATAATTGAAACTTTTATGCATTTTGTTTTAATGTGGATGTCTTTATAGTTCATATTTAGTACTTTTGTCCACTTTGCCCAGAAACTAAGCTGGAATTGAGTTCAGGTAATTCTGATTTTGTCTTCTAAATTTCTTTTACAGCATCAGCGGCAACTCTCTTTGCCCCTGACACAAGCGAAACCTCCTCCAAGAAGGGGATTTTTTAAGGAGGAAACAGACCAATTAATTAAAAACCTCTTGGGCAAAAGAATCAGCAGGTTGATAACTTCTTCCGATGAACTTCAGAATAGTTCCAGAGAATTCTATGACAGTTGGCACAGTAAGCCTGTTGACCTTCATGGACTCCTGCTGCCATGTCTGGAAGGACCAGAAATCAAAGTGTGGGCACAGAGATATTTGCGATGGATTCCTGAAGCTCAGCTCCCTGGTGGAGGCACAGTTGCCACTGCCACAAAAGTCTTAGATGTAATGGAGGATGTACAGGGTTTGCAGAAGAAAATGGACGAAAGACATCGTCAGGCTGAGACTCAGGATGATACAGAAGCTTCTCCCTTTATGAGAAATCCTGCTCGTTTGTCATCATTATTTCCCTTTGCCTTGCTTCAGAGACATTCTCTTAAGCCAGTTTTGCCTACCAGCATTTGGAAAGACTTGGAAGGTGAAGAAGATTTGGCCAGGAGAGATGATGAGTATGTTGATCTAGGTGGTGATTAATGTAATGCTTCCTTTCAATTATAGATTTGAACCATATTTCTGTTCAGTTACCGGAATAAAATTGGTTTCAGGGAGGCACATAATTTCCTTTGGGTTGTATTCTGGCTAAAGATAATTAGTAAAGTTTTAATACAGAACGATTTCCACTTTGCTTGAGAACATGGATGTATTTTCCATAGACATTGGGGAGGGGGAGGGTTACCTTATTCTTGATTAAGTTCTTCTGCCACAAGAAGGAAGATTGCTTTTTTTATTATCACTGTGTAAGAACCTGCTGAGACAGCATGGAAGATAATACTACAGCCGCAAGATTAAACAAAAACGATTCTTTTCTCCAGCAAGAATCTGTTCTATTTATTGCCCCTCTCAATAAATGAGAGTTTTATCTTCCTACTCCCCAAAACGTGATTGTTGAGCAGTCATGGGAAAAATTAAGGTGTTGAAAATATCAAAGATCTATTGGAACCTGCCTACTTCAGTTTTAATAAACGGTAGTGTCAAATGTTCAGCATTGGAAAACAGTCTAGTCTGGGAGGGTCATCTATTTTATCCTTGATAAAACTGATCTTTCTGAGAATTATTTTTTAAGTAGTTTGAATTTGTCAGTTGTTTTAAATTTGAGCTTGAGAAATAAAGAGTAAAGACTGTCACAAATCCTGCTTGTTGTGATCATCCATCCTCTTCAGAGTTCTAACACTGTGTTATTTTCATAAAACAAATGGTCTTGAGTTCATCTCACTGGATGGTCTCTGCTTGTTGTATATTTTCTGATCAGTGGTTACTTCAGGTAATTTATTGCCCCAGTACAAGAAGCAATGGAATTTATAAGGTATCAAATAAGCTAGAATTGTGTTTATCAAAATTTTTGTAGGGTTCTTATGTTGATCTTCCTCATCAATATTAGTAACTTGCACTGAATCTCTAGTCCTTCTGTTAGAAAGGCATTTAAAGAAATGAAACTGGACTTGTCATCCAGTATTTGTGCTTTCTTAAAGCATGGCATTAACAGTAATAATGAATGTAAACAGTCTGCACATTGGAATCTCAGATTACAGAATGATGCTACAATATTATTACAGTTACAAAAGCCATACAAAAATGCCCGTTAAACCTAGTATGCTTATTCTAAACCGATGGACTTGTCAAATGAACTTCAAGTGTCATAAAAAAACTAATATAATCCAAAGTTAGAAGTACCGTACAGGATAGTACAGAACTATATTTTGGACATTGATAAAGATAGTACAACTTTCACCAACACTTCCACTTCTTGACTATTCTGGTTAAGAGTCTCGGAAAACAGTTGTCTAATCCAGCCAGCTGTAGAATGAGAAAAAAAATATATATAATGTCTGATTTCTGAATTAGTTCTTTCTAAGTGCATTTCTTGTTTTGGATTACGTTCACAGTAACAAAGAGTTTGCTTGTTCTTTTAGTTTTGTTGGAAGCAAAGATAATGAATATTTTATTGGAATATGTATATACATTGGTGAGGATAAAAGCCAAAGTGCTAAAGTCCATGTTGCCTTATGCATCTTGTTACTATGAACTCCTTTAGTTTTCAGAATTTTGAAACACAATAAAACTTACTTGTATGTGAGCCTTCCAAGAGCTAACATTTCATACTTTTTCCTTGTAATGTGTTAGGCATTTGCTGCGGCTCCTATACTCAAATTGATGGTTGAATTGTAATTTGAATACTTTTTTAAAAACACTAACATTAAGCTTAAATATTTTTGACAGTACGATTGTAATATATTAATCGTGGAAATGTATTTATATTTAAGCTGTCAAATGTTTATAGAAAAATATATGGAAGAATTTTTATAATAGTTTATGGAATTGCTGCATTCTGGTCTTGATCAGAACACAGCACTGTATGAATGAAAATTATTTAAATGTATTTTTTCAGGTATTGTGTTGTTACCTCTCAGTTTTTACACTGAACGCAAGCTTAGCTTCAACAGTACTTAAGGAAAAACCTTCCTGTAATTCACTGTAATCTGTTTGGATACCTGTATTTGTTAATAAAGTGTACTTTTACTAATAATTTAAAAATAGTGTTTGAATCATAATTGTGTTCTTTGTTTTCACACATGGTGTCAGTTTCGAGCTATTTTTGTATGAATGCAATATGAATAATGGGCGTATAGGGAGCATACATATAGCTGCTTTCTACAGAGAATTCTGAATCTACTTTTGCTTTGAGGTAAATGCCCCAGATTTTTTTTTGGGGGGGGGAATATGCTGAGATTTGTAAACCTCTCAGAGAATGCTGTAAAGCATTATGGAGTGATATACAAGTCTAAGTACTATTGCTATTGTGTCTGAGGCATCCACCTCTATTGAGGGAAAGATTTTGCACTTTGCCATAGATGGATTCCTTCACTCTTCTCTCAAACCTTCTATCTTCCCTGTCCAAAATGTGAACACTATTGTCCACCTTTTCCAAATATTTGGGAAACATCACATGCCTGTGTTCTTGAAACCCACCAACACATTAAGATAGAGGCTTGTCCATCCTAAAGATCAGACACCAAAACATAAGAGTAATGTGTTGTATGTAGTCCCGTGCTGTGAAGAGTGTCCAAAGCTCTATGTTGGAAAAACCAAACAGCCTTTACACAAGAGGATGGCCCAGTACAGGAAAAAAAACCTCTCTGGAGGACAAATATGGGGAGGGGGTTTGTACCAATAAGAAAAGTCTCCATTTTCAAACAACTAGTGTATTTTCAGTTTTTGTTACCATATTACATTAAAACTCGATTTCTTAAAATGTGTGGGACACTGTGTTACAACTTCTGCAGAGAGTTCTTTAAAGAAAGCAGTAAATACAGTTACTCCTACCTTAGGCAAGAAGTCAGCTGGGTGGTCTTGAGGCAGTCCCTCCCTCAGCCCTACAATGTAGGCAATGGTAAGCCACTTACAAAATCTTGCCCAGAAAACAGAAGGAAGTTGTCCAGGTAGTCGCTAGGAATGACCACTAACTCAAAGGAACAGGAGGGAAAAGATCTTACTTTGCTTGTGTACAGGATCTGTTTGCTTAGAATTTGCTAGAATTTTCAGACATACCTCCTCCTTAGCTTATAGTCATCATATTTTGGCTATCTCACTGCAGGTTTATCAGAAATCACACCGAGAATGAGGTAATTAAAAGTTCTCCTGTTTGAAGAAAGCTGTTGCAGATAAATGTATGTGATAAATATAAATACAAGACATGTTTTGCTGGATGTGAGGGTTGGAAGTATGATCTTTAAATGTGTTACAGTGCTGATGCAATAAGGGAGAGGACACAGGCTTCCTTGAGTCAAATTCCATTCTTGGGGATGACAAAGACACATCCTTTAAAGCGCTCCATGGCAATGGACCTAGGTATTTGCAAGACCGCCTCCTACCAAACACCTCCCTTCGACCAGTCCGCTCCCACAGAGAGGGCCTCCTAAGTGTGCCGTCGGCCAGTCAATGCCGGCTGGCGACCCCCAGGGGGAGAGCCTTCTCTGTGGCAGCTCCTGCCCTCTGGAATGACCTACCCCCCGACCTATGTACAACTACGGACCTGCGCCTCTTTCGCCGAGCCTTGAAAACCCATCTTTTCCATGCGGCTGGCCTGGCGTAGTTCTGATTGTGTTTTGGTAGGGGTTTTTATATGGGGTATTTTAGAGCAGGCTTTTTATTTAATATTTATTGTGATTTTTATTATTGCCTGTTCACCGCCCTGAGTCCCGTAAGGGAGATAGGGCGGTATATAAATTTAAATAATAATAATAATAATAATTAATAATGAATAATAATAATAATAATAGTAATAGTAATAATAATAATAATCCATACAGCAAAAGGGAAATCATTTTATAATGTCTTTGGGGATTTTTTCTTTTAACCTCCCAGTCTTGTTTCCCATCTAATCAGAGTTCAGTCCAATCCTGCTTAACCTTATTAGGTGCCACCTAAACAGGAACAAGCTAGTTACTTCAGTCAGTTACGTCCGTCTACTTATCTTTAGTTCACTGGTTCACTTTAAAAGATAACTTTTGTTCAATGTTGAGCTGTTTCGAGTATGAGTATGCAATACGTAGATAAGGAAATTCCCAAAATGTATGTGCGTTCCATTTATTCAAGAACTGCTGATATTTATATTGACATGAAGTAATACTAGAAATTGGTTCCACTCAGAATAGTTTTCAAAGTGAATGTATTGGGCAATGAAAAGCTGTTTAAATGATAATCCTTGAATCTGTCCAGATTGATTTATATGTTGGAATCTTTGAATTCTTCTTGTTGGAGTTATAAAAGATGTATCTGGAAGACATAGAGACTAAGGTGGAAGTGGGTAGAGTTACCTAGAATTCTTCTAAAAATATTTTGTCCGTTTTATTTTTGGACTGTGACAGCATTGTAAATAAAGAATGAGGTGGCACCTCATTGTCCACTTTCAATTCAATCAAACAGTTCTTATTTACTGCTTTAGACTAGGATGGGGGTAAAGGTAGTACCGGTAGTACAGACATTTCTGCCCAATGCTTCATTGGCATTTGCTTACCAATTTTGCTTTTGCCTACTCACTAATAAATGCTGCAATGCAGCACTCATCAACACCAGACAGAAGTGCATATATCAGCTAGAGTGTGTAACCTGAACTTGCATCTCTGGATCTCCCCTTTCCAAGGGATGGTCTTGGTGATGCATTACAAGAAAGTGGATAGACAAGATAGAAAAGGTAGGGGTCTCTTTCCCCCAAATTGTTACCTTTCTTGGGGGCACTAAGGAAGAGGGGAACAACTAGGGAATTATTGACTGGAAAGGCTCCTATTACCGTATTACATTCTACCTGTCAACTCCAAGTGGTACAACTGCTGAAAAATAAGTCATTTTTCTTGATACCAAGGATTGATTCAAATTATTTTTAGAATCCTTATCCCCTGTGCTACTCTACTGACTTTTTCGTGAATCAGACATTTTTTTTAGGTGGCAGCAGATCAAGAGGAACAATGTATTGCATCTAGTGAGCTGAAATAGCTAGTTTTATAGGCAGAAAAACAACAAACTCCTGCATGCATGCGCACATGCTGCTAAGATACTGGTGATGGAAGGTACATCAGATGAAGAGCAAGCATTTTGGTTTGTGAGAAGATGGCAGGCATCAAAAAACCATCTGTTGCTGGAGGGATTCCCTCATCCAGTTACAGCAGACTCAAATTTCCTAGTGAGAAAAGCATTTGCCTTCTAGCAATGCAGTCTCCTAGAAACATTTCACAAAGACCAGGAATTACAAATGAAATGTATTGTACATTTATATTTATCTCTCTCCTGATCAGATGGTTATATAAGTGTAGACAGCCAAGATAATAGATAACCCGCACTGTTCAGGAAAGGAACAGAATACAATTCCTTGTTTGGAAACACCCTAATTTTGCATATGTGTAAGAATTTTGTCATGCTTACAAAAGAAATGATACTTTTACAAGAAATCTGAAAGAAAGTTTATAGGACAAGAGAAAATGTAAAATGTTTGCTCTCTTAGCAAATTGACAATTATGATGAGAAACAAGGATAAGGGGAGAAAAATAAAATGTTTTATTTTTAAGAGTCTAAAAGTCTCAGGGCTCTTTGTAAATTTTCTAGCTTTAATCACAATTACTTTAAATATTTCCCCAGAGAAAATCAGTGAAGGAGAATATTGGTTATATTGTGAATATATTTTCCTGATGTATTAGAAATATCCCTTGTTGAGACAGAAGCTACATTTTCCTTTAGTCCAATATCTGCTAAGGAAACAGCCTACTTTCAGAAATGTTTCATTACCAGAAATTGCACTGGTAAATATAATTGCTAACTGAAAGTGATCATTTCTAGCTGAATCAGAGATTAAAACTTGCACAAGCGCATATTCCTGAGTTAGAATTATTCCTGTTTAACTAAATATTAAAACATATCTTCTTGCCTCTGACAGAGGAAAGAAATATACCGATAATATATTTATTTTTTTCTGAAAGTGCTGACACTAAGCATTTTAGCTTTTATATACTGTGGTGTCAAATAAGGCAATAGGAATGTATCTTGATGATAAAATCCTTCAGCAAGCTAATAAATTGTAAGGATGTTTGCTCCACAGCAATAAATCTCATTAAGTAACCCTACCATTTCTTGGGTTATTTTGGAATATGCTTTGCTTCTGACATCTTGAAGCTAGACTATATATCACAGTGTATTAAATACCAGAAGACTCTTTGTGCTTTTGCTGCAACAAACTTGTAGAAACATTATTAGCAAATGCAATCCACAAAATAACAGCTCTGAAGCTGTACACTATATAAACATATTGAAAGGTTTGGAGAGTCACTGCTTCTGAGAGAGAAACCATCAGTGGCTAATAAAGGTCACTTGTTTGATGCAACTGCAGTAACCTTATTCCACATTCTTGACACTGACCTTACAATCATTTATGTAGGTGTACAGATATATATGCATGCTTCAAAAATCATTTGGAAGAAATGTTAGCACAGCCCTTCTCAGCTATTCACTTAAGCAGCCCCTCTTTCATCAGGCTGTTCCCATAAGGTTCAATGTTTTCACAGTGCTAATAAATAGTACTTTGTATGTAACATATAATGCAATCATAATATTATAGCTCATCACTTAACCAGATGTTTAGACTGGATTTGGCATTTTTATCCATCTATAGAATCCTTCTCAATGACCTGGAATAGGCAGATGTTGTTTGATGGTGTTAAAAGTATTGTCACAGGATTTAAGTTGCTTTTTGCAATTGATTAATGGTGATTTTGTCAATGCCAGTGGTATATTATTCTGAATTTTTATTTCCCAAATGCATGAACACCTGCATTAAAAGCAGGATAAACCTAATAAATCAATCTAGTAAATAACCTAAATAAATAATAAATATCTAAGTAAAAATACTCAAATGTAAATTTTCTGCATAGCCAGAGATAATTCTCAGATGTTTCAGTTGAGTTTATCAACAAGTACATGTTGATCTTTATTTTTAAGCACCTTTTGTAGCACCTAAATTGAATTTTTCCTGTTTTCCAACTACTAAAAAACCTGTATGTTAATCCTAATTTTGGATTAGGATAGTAAGAACATCTTTTCAAAAGTGTGTTAAGTACCATACTTCTCAAAGCTGCTGAGACAAAGCATAGACAAAATCTATTATGGAACTAAACGCAGCACAAGATGAACCCAATTTTCATGTCTGCAATAAACTCAAGCTCCATCTTTAGACTATAATTAACCGGAATTGCTTTGTTTATCCTCTTTCCAGAAGACATCATGGTAAACTCAAAAACCTGTGTGCTATTTTGTAACAAGGGCTCTGAAATTTTTCTTTGCATCTTTTGGACAGTATCCTTCTGCATAATCTTTATTTAAGTCAGTCTGCTCCGTGAGGTAACCTGCCACCTATTTCTATCACTGGAACCCACAGTGATGGAGCTTGTGTACAAATCAACTTTACTCCCTTGAGTATCTATATATACATGTATGCACATATGCAGGAAGGTTATAATTTTGTTTATACACTGAATGACTTATTAGTGGCTAGATGACATTATTTTACCTATGTATGTAAAGGTAAAGGTTTCTCCTGTCCAGTCATGTCCCACTCTAGGGGGTGGTGCTCATCTCGATTTCTTAGCCAAGGGAGCCAGTGTTGTCCAAATATGCTTCCATGATCATGTGGCCAGCATGATTATGTATGTTTTCTACTCACATTTTCATTAACTGCTAGGTGGGTAAGAACTGGGGCAGGAACGGGAGCTCATCCCATTGTGCGGAGTTGGGGTCTCAACCTGATTGCTAGCTTTCCAGCTGACAAGCTCAGTGTCTTTAACTACTAAGCCATCACGCCATTCTATTTTACATACATAAAAATGTTCAAAATGAAGCACAGAGTCTTTATTTGAAAAAGGGTTACAAAGATAAGAAATTCTAGTCAATTTAATTTTCTGAGAGTGTTCAGGGAAAAAATCAGGGAAAACAGGGAAAAATCAATTGACACCAATTGCTACTTGCAAAGTTCTTCTTGAACATAAGTACAGAATTGAAGAAGTCGAACAATTGATGATTGTTCTATTTGTTTGTCCCTTGGCTCCAGTCTGAGAGAATGTCCTTTCCTTTCCTCACCCTAATTACTTGATAGGTAATCAAGGCAGCAAATATACTAATACCCCTCCCTCCTCCTCCTCCCCCCCCCAACACCACCCCTGTGAGGTGGGCTGGCCTGAGAGCAAGTGACTGGCCCAAGATCACACAGCCAAACTTTGATGGCTAAGGCCGGACTAGAATTCAGTTTCCTGATTTCTAGCCTGGTGCCTTAACCACTGCACCAAATTGCACAGCCAATCCTCTTTTGTAATGTTGTTTCATGTACTGCAGTGTTTCTCAACCTTGCCCATTTTAAGGCATGTGGACTTCAACTCCCAGAATTCCACAGCCAGCATTGCTGGCTGTGGAATTCTGGGAGTTGAAGTCCACATGCCTTAAAATTGGCAAGGTTGAGAAACACTGATGTACTGGTACATACTCCATAAAACTGTAAAATCTGCACCATGGCAGAAGCCAAAGAAGCCAAACCAGGAATTGGCTCAGGATTTTTTTTTTTTTCTCTAAGGTTGGTTTCGGCTCGGTGAAAATGCAGTAACAGTAAGTCGGGAGGTATCCTTTGCTGATACCTAAACAAGACTACAGTCTTAAAAAGGAACCCCAAGAATTATCCCCGGCCCGTATTTTGTATTTTGCCCACCCAGACTCACTTTCCCTTTGCTCGGCTTCTTCTGCTCACTCGGGCCGGGGTGCTTGGATGCTGTCTCTCCCTGAAGACAACGGGGAACCGGACCCGCAAGACCCCGGGAGGCACCCTCCGCTTCCACAGCCCTCAGCAGCACCGCTCCCGCTTATGGAGGAAGGGCGGAGCGACCCCGCCACGTTGGCCTCGCAGGCCCTCCCTCCCGGACCGCCTCTCTCGGGCCGGCAGGCGGGCTCTGAGGAGCCGGCCTGCCTCTCTTCCCTTTTCCCTCCGCCTCTTATGCCACATCCTCCGCCTCCGCCGCCGTCGCTGCTGGCGTCAGCCGAGGGAGTCCGCGCCGCCATATTGGAGGAGACGCCGCCGAAGTCGCCCCCGCCGCCGCTTTGAGTGCCGCAACAGGCGGAACCGGCCCGCCCATCCCGTCTCTGGCCTGCCGGCGACGGCGGGCCTGAGCCCTGCCTGCGGGACCCGAGGGAGAAGGCCGCCGCCGCCGCCGCCCGGGGCTCCTGCCGCTATCCGCTCACCGAGCGGGGCCCTCCGGGGTCGAAGGCTCCGTTCTCTTGCCGCCGCCGCCGCCGCGCCATGACTTCGCTGACCCAGCGCAACTCGGGCCTGGTGCAGCGCCGCACGGAGGCTTCGCGCAGCGCGGCCGACAAAGACCGGGGGGCCGGCGGCGGCAGCGGCGGGGGGGGAGGCGGCGGCGGCGGGCCGGAGGAGGAAGACCGGCGAGACGAGCAGGGGGACGAGGAGAAGGGGGACTCCAAGGAAACACGGCTCACGCTTATGGAGGAGGTGTTGCTGCTGGGCCTTAAGGACCGGGAGGTGAGGGACGGCGAGTCTGGCCCTTTCGGGGGCAGCGGATTGTGGGAGAACAAGGGGCCGGAGTGGGGGGGTGTTAGGAGGCCGGAGGGTGGACATTCCCAGCATAGCGCCGGCTCGACCCGCTGGACTAAAGCCTGGCTTCCCCAGCCAGCGTAGTTGGGAAGAGTCTCCTGGAGCCTTAAATGGGGGGAGGCTATTTGGGGGAGAGGAGGGGGTCTTGAGAGAGCCATTGAAGAGGCAAGAGATTGATCTTGCAGGAGGAGGAAGAATGCTCACCCAGAATTATTGGCGTAAAGAGAAACATTATAGAAAGATTACTGGCATAGTCTACCCTAGCGAGTCATCTGGAATCTGGTAGCACCTTTCCAGATTTGTGACTTTTGGGGGGGCTGCAGCTGCCTTCCTCAGATGCTCTACACAGCCACTCTGTGCTCTACACAGCCACTCTGGGCCTCTAAGGAAGTCAACTCGCAAAAGCACCTCTCTTAATTTAAAAAAAAAAGGTGCTACCTTTCATCTTGGTTTTTCTGGGTAAAGCAGTGATGGCGAACCTTTTAGAGACCGAGTGCCCAAACTGCAACCCAAAACCCACTTATGCATCGTCGGGTGCCGGGTGGGTGTGGCCCATTGGGTGGGCGTGGCTGCGGTGGTAACGGCCGACTGGGTGGGACTAAAAAGTTCAATCAATCAATTCCAACTTTGCAAGATCTTTTTTCCGCGAGAAGTTGAAATTGACTGATTGAACCTTTCTTTTTTTTTTTGCACATGGCGGCGGAGGCCTAAAGCGAAAAGGTTTTATAAAACCCAGCTGAAGGCCTAGGACTGGGGCGACAGCGCACGTGCCCACAGAGAGGGCTCTGAGTGCCGCCTCTGGCACCCGTGCCATAGGTTCGCCACCACTGGGGTAAAGGCTTAGGATTTAGAAGTCGATGGGTCCGGGTTGTTTCAGTTTGCACAACACAGTTCATTGAGTTGACCAAGTTGTTTCCTCTTTTAGACTTCTTTGGGCCGGAGATTGGTGGAGTTTATGCTGTGCCACAAACTGCCACGTTTTAGCCACTGAGTTGTACGGGCCCAGCCGACTTGAGTGCCATTCTCCTTGTAAAGCCCTCCCCCTTTATTGCTTGTTACAGTGAAATCATTCAAGAGATGGTTCACAGGTTTAAAGAAATGAATAATAATAATAATAATAATAATAATAGTAATAATAATAATAATAATAATAATAATAATAATAATAATAATAATAATAATAATAAAATATTGGAAGGGATCTTTGAAGTCTTCTAGTCCAACCCTCTGCTCAAGCAGGAAATCCTATACCATTACAGACAAATGGTTGTCCACTCTCTTCTTAAAAACTTCCAGTGTTGGATTAGTTTGATTAGTTTCCATTCATTGCTTCTTGTCCTGCCGTCAGGTGCTTTGGAGAGTAGCTTGACTCCCTCTTCTTTGTGGCAACCCCGGAAATATTGGAACACTGCTATCATTTCACCCCTAGCCCTTCTCTTCATTAAACTAGACATACCCAATTCCAGCAACAATTTTAATATAATGAATGTACATGTGTGTGTGTATACACACATAATTATTCATTTCTTTAAACCTGTGAGTTTATAGAAAAATATAATGAAATTAAGGAAATAGTATGAAAAGAACAGAGGAGTTGATATCATTTGAAGATGAGCTAGCAGGAAAATGCACATCCTTGTTCAAGCCTTTTTTAAGCAACTATAATTGGCTGGAATTGAGAAAGCCAGCAATTTAGAAATGTATCTTAAAGAGAGTTTACTGTGGGAATAAACATGTATTTAGTACTACATTGGGGAAGGGGATCCCAGCTCTAAGCTTTGGAATATAACAGGAAAATGTAACAGGAAAATTCAGCAGGGCCTCTAATTAGAAAGTAATTTAGCCTCAAATTTCCTCAGAGGAGTGTTTGTGTGAGAGAGAGAGGGAAAGGGGAAGAGAGAGAGAGACATGATTATTTTACATGGTTTCTTATTTTAGTTACCTTATAATATACAAAATTAACATACCAATTTTTGCTCTGACATGCTAGTGCAAGTCATAACACTGAGACTATTAATTCATCATTTCTATATTCCTTTCCTATTCCCTCTCGTTTATTTATATAGGTCCCTCTTAGATTGTGGGATAGAAGTTGGCACTTTTTTTATAGTAATTAGTGTGCCTAAGAAAAAGAGAAGAACAGTTGGAAATTACATAAACTCATCCATTAAACTATTAAATACATGTCTATTTAGATATGTAAAAATGCTATATACTTCATATAAATACATTTTTCCTAGAAAAGAAAGGTTTATTAAATATGTTTACAAAATATTAAAATTATCTTTGAAAAAGCAAATCTGTAACCTGTTGCATTAAGCCAAACTTAATAATAATAGTCTTCTGGTATCTTTATAATACATTTTTAATGGTATAAGCTTCATGGATAAGAATCAACTTCTTGTGATGAGGTAGGGTGTAGCTGCAGTCTTATGCTGTGATATCATTTGTTGTTAGGAAATTCAATTCCACTTAAATAAAGGCAAGCAGTACGTCTTGCCATGTCACCTTGACTTGAAGATGGTAAAGATTTCCAAACCTAAGTTGGAAAACTTAATTATCTCTTCCAAGTTACATCTTTAACAATGGATTAATGCTCTATAACTACCAAATGTTCTGAAGCTGATAATGTTCTGTAGCTACCTGCTGGAAAAAGACGGTCATGTTTGTTAGATAAGGTACACATTGAAGTAAATACAAAAAGCATTACCTTCAAAGAGCTGTTACTGTCTTGCTTAAAAGGTGACTGACTCAATACTTGTTGCTTTCTGCTTACAGATATTCTCAAAAGATAGGATAACTATAAACTATTGATACTTATCAGAACTTGTCATGAATTAATGTGCCACAAAGCTGTACGCTTTTTACAGTTCTCATATGAGTATTTAATTTTATTTCTGATCTGCTGATTTGCAGGACTAGCTGCAGTACCATTAATAACAAAGATTCACAAAGGTCGTCTTGGTTGCAGGGTTTTCATCCAGGTGTGATAGAAGAATTCCTGGCATTAGCCTTCCCTACCTATGATGAGTTTAGCAGTGATTCTGAATATGGAATCAGAGTGTGCTATTTGATTAAAACTTCTGAAGAAAGAGTTGCTATATAGTATTGATGTAGCCATTGTGCAAGATTTTAGATATACTCCTTGTGGAATAGTGAACAATTTTTGATCTTTTGTCAATTTTTGTATAGGCAGGGTAGGTTTAATATTCCGCATCATATATGTAAAGTTATTGTTAGTACACTTTTGCCTCAAAATGAATTGCTTTGCAGGCATTTAATATTGAATTACATATTTAAATATTTAGATGTAAACGCTCTTGTCACTTTTCTCACAGTAAATAGCTTTTAAAAAGCACAGTTAAATATTCTGGAGTTCAGAATTTTAAAAGCATTTGTAAATGAAAATTTTCAATAGGTATATTTTTAAATACAGCTAGTCTCATTAAGCTCTCTTGGGATATAGATTCCATTATTTTTGAAGTCACTATAGAAATTCTAACTTCCATAATTTAGCGCACCGGTGTCAAACTCGGTCATGTCACGTGACATATCGTGACTTTTTTTTCTTTTGCCGAGCCAGGATGCGCATGGCCTGTGCATGATGCATCCGGCCCATGGGCTGCCAGTTTGACACCCCTGATTTAGAGTAATCCTGAAATGGCTAATAGTAATACAGGTAATCCTTGATTCATGACTAATTGACCCTAAAATTATAGTCATATGTTGTTCCAGTTGTTCAGAAGTCATCGTGTGACTGTTTCTGCTATTATGACTTTGTTAAGCAAATGTTGCAATTAACCCAGTGACATGTCTGCAGATCCATTGTCTGCAATGTGTGTTTTTTGCTGGAAATTGGAAGTAAATGCCAGTCATGTGACTGCAGGACACTGCAAACAGTCATAAATATGAGTCAGTTACTGAGCACCCAAAATACAATCATATGACCTGGGAGAGGGACTGTTGGAACTTAGAATCCAAACCTTAAGTAACCCTGAGGAATCCATTGTAACTTTGAACATTTGCTGAACAGCTGATCATAAGTCAAGGACTACTGTAATGAAAAATAAGTATCATTTAGTTTATAGACTTATTTTTTTTCAAACCTGAAGATCATGCTGCAACTGAAGAATTTTCAGTTTCAGGCTCTGACAAGTCAACTATACACATTCAAAATCATAGTCTGTTAATAAGTGTGTGAAGTAACAAAATATTTTAAAGTCAGTGCTTGAATATAACTCAGAAAATAATAGAATAATCTTAATTTGCATCTAAGACAAGCCAATTAGTATTACATTGATACTTCAGTCACAGATAAACTGAATAGCTCTGAGATGACTTGAAATATTTTGCTAGCACAGCACTCAAAAAAGATGTTATGTAAGATGGAAATATTACAGTGGAAGTAGAATAGCATCAGGACTAACAAGAACATTTAGCCTCAGTATAAAACCAATAGAATTTGCCAAAAACAACAACAACAGTGTTATAGCAAATGCCTTTTTTCCAGCAAACTCTACTGTGACTACACACATATTTCACCAGATGGACAATACTGAAATCAGATTGACTATTTACTCTGCAAGCAAAGAGAGAGAGAGAGCTCTATTTAGTCAGCAAAAAGACTTCAAAGTGACTATTGCTCAGATTATGAAATCCCTCTTACAAAATTATAGGTAAAAAAGACTAGGAAGATACAACTTCAGCACATTTCTGCATGATTATCAATTGAAGGTAAAGAATAGATTTAATGGATTAGATATGACACATACTTGAAAAACTCTAGACTGCAATTTAAAGCATAATTAAAAATGAAGCAAACAACAGTATCCCAAAGGGGAGAAAAAGAGTGGAAATTGCTGTCTGATGGGGTGTTGAAAACTGCTGTAAAAGAGACAGAAGAAAATGTAACAAAGCAACACAACAGA